TGCACCCAAACACGGACAAAATAGATGCATTATACCCGCAAATGCAATGATTTTATTTTTCATAAAAAAACTTTATAAATAAACCAACCAAATAATATCTGAGATTGCAATTGATGCGTGATCTAAAATTCGCGGCGGTAAAGACTTAGTATTGCACAAGAATTCAACACACACAAATAATAAAAGAGAAATAAACAAGAGAGATCACCTTGAATGTTTACGTGAAAAATCTTTTGAGGGGGGAAAATCACGGGGTCTAGCCCAATTGAAATAATTCAATATGAATAATGAGTACACAAGTTCATCATTCTCATAAGTTAGGGAAGATAAAATTACAAAGTTGCATAACTATAATCTGTTGCAATTCTTAGTGACAACATGTTGCAAGGGTCAATGTTGATTGTTGTGGACGTAGTAGTCCATCATGAGTGTTGTAGATGGTTGTTTTATAAGCGTTAATTGACCAAAGAAATCATAGTAAACAATTACGAGAGTTGTGAACCACATAAGTTGTAGTGGCAAGTATGAATGACGTCCATAGGCCGCGTGGGTTGGAGTCGAGAGCTACATGAGCTGTGAACCACGTAGGTCGTCGTTGACACATGGACTGTAGTGATGAGCTCATGTCCTACGACGATGACTGACGACATCTGGTTGGTGGTGATCAACGATGATTGGTGGTGATAGACGGTGACGGTCGACAGTGGTTGACTGCGATTGATGGGTATAGACGACGACCGACGGTGGTCGATGGTGATTGACGGTGGTCGTCGACGGTCAGTATGATGCTGGACTTAAGCTCCTACTCAGAGCTTCTCGTTCTCTCTAAAGCTTCAAGTCTCTCCCTCATGTAAGGGGTGGGGCTCAATTTATAGTGCTATGAGTGTCATTAATGCATGAATATGAATCATTTTGATCAGACGGTCTGAAGAGCTTCATCCGATCAAACAACATTTAATGTACATTCGAGTGCCTTAACGATTTGAAATTGTGCAATCTTTGGCTCGTTAGATTCGTCTTCTCGAGACATTTGATTCGACTATAAACTTGTCAGATTCGGCAACTGTTTGACCTTCCAAATGTGTTCAAAAATCCTCCAAGAATGTTTTAGTAACTTGATCTAGATTTGATTTAACCCTGATTGGAATGACTTTGATATCATTAGGTCTCTCTCATCGAGCCGGTCAGTTTGACTATAAGTTCTCTAAAATCGGAGTTCTGAATGAGTTTTTATAAAAAATTTGAATATCCTTGCTAAAAATATTATCTCGAGATCCGTGTCATGCCTCGAGATTTGTGCTGGATAATAAAGATTTTTTTGTGTGTTTATCAGAAAAATATTACAGATTTATTTATTAATTTTTTATAGTAATTAAAGAACTAATAGAGAATGATAGTGTCCCTTACGAGCATGATTTTGATCACAGACACATGGAAATCTTTGTGGGGGATGCAAAAGATAAAATGATGTAAAATAGAAAAAAAACACCTTTTAGAGATGAGCTAATGTAAGTGCCATTAAGATTTTGTTTGAGAAGAGGTAAAGTTCTTTTCTGTTGCATGAACACCGAAGAGTAGAAAATTTTTTGTTTGTTGAAGCAGCATCTCCTAAGTATCTCTTGAAGTTGTATCTCAAGAACGACAAATTTTCACCTATCTAGAATGCAAATGACTTTCTCCGTTTGGTGAATGCGACCGTTAAAATAAAATGACTTTGTTGAATGATGAAACTCCTTCAAGCAAAACCAGCAAATATTTGAACTCCAACAATTAAGAAATTTAAATCGTTGACATAACTGACCTTTAGCGCCAGTTGTGTTGTTTTAAACTAGTCTTCTTTAGTATTGAATTAACAATGCTCTCTTGAATTTGTTGATCTATCATAAAAATAAAATTAAAATTTTTTTCTTAAATTTTTTAAAATGGTTTACTACTCAGTACTAAGGAAATTTTAACTAATTATTACTTATTAAATGATATGAAAAAGAAAATAATTAAAAGAAGTTTTAAAAAGAGTGAACTTTACATTTTATATTTTATCTTTTGTGTCATTCATCTCTTTTAATTTTATGATAGATTTTATATATCACTAAAAATATATATTGATCAAAACCAATCTCAATATACATTTAGATAAAAAGTTTCAAAATTAATTTGAAATCACGTGCACTCCAATTTTTTATCAAATGAAGTATCTCAGTGACACAAATAAAGTGATATTAAAAATGGTCTGATATGAGTTCAAGTGAGCCCATATCATACACTTAAAACATAATAAAAAACTTTAAAATATATTTTGAGGAAGCAGGTGATCTTCAAATTTAACAATTTTTTATTCAAATTGAGCGTCTCGATAGATGAATCCTACTAGCTTTGAATCATTTAATTCTGACATTATTAAGACATTAAAATATACATCAAAACATATCATCACTTTGGGCCGTCCGATGAAATAGTCCGGAATCCGAATACATGCAATATTTATGAAGGATGCTACTCACAAAATTTATAAATAAAAGCCCACTCTCTTTATAAGAAGGGTTGTACATGAAGGAAAAGACTGAAGAAGCCACAAGCTTTTGAAGGTTCTCGAGCTCTATCACCGTCGGCCACCACCATTGTAGCAGTTGAACCATCTCTGTCTATTTGCCATCGTCGTCGGACTACTGCTTAAGCAGTCACCGTCCCCACCGCAAGGAACACAATTGTCTGGCCTGATCCGCCACCGCCTCACCAATATTGTCCGACCACCACTGCTGTTACCACTAGACCACAACTGTCCTGTCACTGTCAGAACACCATTGTCATCACCATCATCTCTTCTAGATCACACTATCGGGCCATCATCTGACCTCCACCATTGTCACTGTCAGACCAACATCGTCGTGTCGTCACCATCACCAGAACATCGTTGTCGACCACCTCCATCGCCACCACCTGACCATCGTCGTTTAACTGCAACCATTGATGGACCACCGTTGCCTAGCCACCATCACCATCACTGTTGGACCACCACAATCGGGCCATCGGACTACTGTCGCCGCTGTACTACTGTCATCAAGCAATCGGACTACTGCAGGTACGCCGCCATCTGACCACCACAGTCTTCGCCGTTGTCAGGCCGCCATTTGACCACCACGTTCGACTACAGTTATCTGGTCGCCAATGTTATCAGGCAACTGTTGCTTTGCCACCACCATCGCTCCCACTAGATCATCGTCGTCGGGTCGTCGTTAGAGAGTCTCTTCCTTACAATTTTCATTTATGAATGAATATTATAACTTGTGAAAAAATATAACAGAAAGATATCATAAATTTATGAAGTCAGACTCATTAATCTCATTCTATGCTCACTCTATGGTTAATATGTCCGAACTAAGCCAGATGGAGAGAGCTGCACAAGCCCTCATAGTTTGATTTTGTTGTACCAGATTACTGGTCTATTCATTAGTTAAGTCAATGCTTTAATAAATTGTATTGGCTTCATTCATGATATCCTCCATTCTCTATTGTGCAATTACTTCCAATCGATATTAAATAATTGCAATCTAAGCAATTCGATCAATCAGTTTATTGTACAATCTCAGACAAGGATTCTATAAGTTGCAATTTTCACAAGAATCTCCTTTTAGACGACTCAAGTACACCAAGCACACTAGCAGGAGCAGTTAGATAAACTGTTATGAAAGGTAAATCGGGCTTGACATTATTGGCTAGGTTCAAGTTTCCTACCCTATGCATATCTTGTTGAACAATCCTAGTATACATTTCTATCATTTTTGGGAGAATGATACCCATATCACCTTTTGTTTTAACTACTTGCTTTATAAAACTCTTAGTCTCTTGTTCCTCAATAATTGTTTACATCTGGAATATTTCCTTGCAGTTAAATGCTTAACCTACTTGACAATTGGGATGATTGCTAATATTTTAAGGCTCATACATAGTTATTTATATTGATGATGCTCACATAATTCAATTATTTTTCTAGATTAGATTAATTCATGACTAAATTATGTAAACTATTTCAAAAAATTTTAATAGCTTGTACTTTTTATTTCTTAAAAAAAATCAAAAAAAAAAATCTCTTTTTTTGATGTCCAACCAAGATTTATTAGCATCAAAAGAAAATTATTGACCTCATAAGTCTCCATGTTTGATGAGGTGGTTTTGATAATTACAAATATGCGAATAAATTTGGTAATATATATATATATATATATATATGTATATATATATATATGTATATGTTAAGATGTGTAACCAATATAAAACGATATTTAATATAGCTGAAAGAGAGAATTTTATTAACATATTTATTAACAATTTTAAATATGGTATGCTAATACAAATTAGATTGTAAAATTTTAGATGTTATTTTGTATCCTCTGAAATTTCCTCCTATACAGATTTATGATATTTACTAACCATTTTTAAATTCTTCTGAGAGGGCACACCTCTTAATGATTAAATTCTTGCCTTTTTTATAGATAAAATTCATCCTAAGAAAAATTATCATCATTGATATATATTTTTATTTTTTTCATTATTGTTTTTTTTAACACCGCCAGGTCATTTAATCTGTTTAATGGTTGAAGAAGATTGGTCTCTTAGAAACTTTATGGAGGACGACGCAACCAAAGAATCAGCTTTTCAGAATCGCTAAAATTCCACAGAAGTTGAACTGGCGGTGTCTGGCGATATTTTATAATCATAAATCAAAGTTGAATTTTCTTATGGGGCGTGCGTTTACATACATACCACCCAAAACTTATGTAATTACGAATCTCACGCCGATACTTTACCTTCTACATTTTTATCATTCAAATCTTTCTTATATCACATCAAAAGCATCATCATTTTATTATTTAGAAAGTGAGAGAAATCATCTATTCAGGCATAGGTAATGTGATATATATTTAAAAATTAATATTTAGGCAGTAGATATGTAAATACATAGGAATTGAGTGGTACGTAAGTTCCTTTTTTTTTATATATGCCTCGTTCAACGTAAATCAAAATAAGGCCTCGCATGCAGGCACGACAAAGCTCCATCGCGATGTCAATAAAGTGGAGAAAGTCGTTTGGAGGAGATCCCACGCCGAACTCCACGTCCACCACAGTCCTCAATGGCGAAATTTTGAAGGCCACGAGGCCGAAGCTATCAGACTGATGTTCCGCATTAGATAAGTAAAGAGTCAAATTTTATCATTCGAATTCGCTTCCCTCACAGAGTCATTAGGTTTCCCGTGTTGAAATATAAATTTGATTTTAGTTGTTTAAATAAAACTCAATAAGAGCTTAATTTCTAGAAACATGTCTCATTTAGAAGCTTATTCTAGAATGTTTGGTATATATAAAATTATTGTGTGGTAGGTGTGGTAGTTATTGTGTGGGAGATATGAAATTATTTGTAACCATTAGATTAGAATTGTAATGACACAATCTTAGTCATTAATTTAGGATGTGTCACTAGCATAAATAGTAGTGGAGTATTTGAGTTTTTATCAAGTCAAGTAAATGTGATAAATAGAAGTGAAGCTTATTCCACAAATTTTTAACCTTTGTCAAATCCTAAAAGTTTTTCCATTCCAACGCTCTGTCTCTCCATTCCCTATGGCTATTGCTATTTCAGGTTTTCTCTGTCACTGTGATTGCTTTCAGTTTTCTCATCATCATATGATTGACATTCTTGTCGCCGATGCTCTTACTTGTTGGCCGCTCAGATAGTCGATTCCTTGCCAGCATTGCTGCCCCCTCAAATGCAATAAGGAGCTGGAACAAAGCTATCACCGTCTTCCCTATTTCAACTTGGATTTAATCACTTCTTCGCGTTCCTTGCGATCCAACTAATCCTTAAATTCTTCTAGATTTAGCACCAGAAACTTTGGTTTTTACAAAATGAAGCAGCTTCTTTCATTCATTTTTATTTAATTAGATCAATGACATGCATAGAACCCCAAAACTTGTTATTTACAAGGAGCAATCACATACAAACCACCCAAAACTTTCAATTTACAAATCAACCACAGTCTCACTAAAATATAAAAATTCATGATAAAATCACAACCCATATTTTTTATTGTTATCAAAATTTCAATAGTTTGATGGTGGAAGGCTAAATACATCAGTTCAGTAGTTCAAAAAATTCACCTGCATAATTAATTTGAAAATATCAATGTTTCGGGTGGTCTTTATGTAATTATCATTATTTGCAAATGTAGCATCCTTATTCAATTTCTCCTTCATAGTTCGAAATTGTCACTATAAGATAAATATATAATGTTTAAGAGATATTCTTCATGCACTTTCTACAAGAATATGTGAGTTTTTATTCTAAATCTTCAAACGTACTAATCTTTTGTGTATAAATAGTTTGATAATTATATAGATGTATTTCTTCTTGCTTGTTAATGTAAAGATTATATAAACTAGTGAGATTTCCCGTTTGCTTACACAAACAACAACGTTCATCGAGACATATATATATTACATGCAAATCAATAAAAAAATAATTGTAGATTTAATTTTCTTAGGTAATTTGACACACGTACCACATAATTTTATGTTTCTCTATATGTACCACCCAATACAACACATCGATGTTTTCAAGTTGTATAAGGAAAGGTGTATTTCACTTCAACAGAGATAGTTTTGATGATTTTTTTTTATTTGATAAGATTTTACTGGTTTGCATGTAAATATGAATGCTTGTCACCCAAAATTATCTTATATCTTATGTACTCCTTTACAAGTTTGGACAAAATTTGTATTATTAATGTTGATGTGATGACGTAACTCAATTAAGATAGATCTATCTTAGGTGAGTCCATTACATATATAGTTTCCTCTCGAAAGAACTAATTACTTGTATCGTTAACGTATTTATCTTTTCTTCTCTTAAAAAATAAATCATAGGGAAGGAAAAAAAAGATGGTGTGCCTACAATATGGGAGATTAAAATTACTTTACTTTACTGTGACTTATGCATTAATGAAACGGAATTGGGTAATAGACCCACATCCCATTTTAATAAGGTCGGAAAATCTTGTTAAAAATTACAATGAACGTGCTGGTAGGACATATGACCGCGCAAAATTAAAAAATAAATTGGATCAACTTAAAAAAAGTGAAAGCTGTGGAAAGATTTACTATGAAATGAAACCGGCATAGGATGAAATCCATTGAAAATAACAGTAAAAACTTCAAATGTGTAGTGGAATGAGAAAATGCAGGTATATTCTGTATTTACTTCATAAATGATTTTAAATATTATGTGTCAATATTGCACATTCACTCTTAATGTAGGTTAATCCCGCAGTGAAACTTTTTTGTTATAATGGAATAACGCTCGGGTTGGAAGAAAATTTTGACATAATAATTAGTAGTATAGTAGAACCGGGGAGAACTTTTGGCTACCAAGCACGGGAATGCTATCTTTTGAGCTATGAGAGGAGACAGCAGACTTATTAGCTGCGAAGGAAATTTATGAAAATAATCCTACTATTGCAAAGGCACAAGGAATTCAAATTTTGTTTTCAATTGATATACAATAATCAAATAAGAGAAAGTATAAAAAAACAAAAGTCGAGTGGTAGAAATTTTCTTGAAAATTAAATTGAGGCATTAGTTCAAGTTTCCACATATGTTCGTGAAGCTATATCTACACCAAATGCTTCAAGAAAATATTTTGCAATAAGTGATGCGGTGGAGGAGTTAGTTAACATATTAGATATACCAATAATATTGAGTTTTAGGACTTTGCTCTAAAGCTCATGAAGGATAAAGATAAAAGAGTGATTTTCATGCACATTCACAAGGATGAAAAAATGGGTTAACTCAGAAGAAATACCACAAGAGTTTATATTAATTCAACATTACAATGATTTATTTTGTTAACACACACTATGTAGTTTGATTTCTAAAGCAATAACTAATTACATGAATTACATTTCCGAAAATAAACTAAGTATATTTTTCTTCAAAATTGTAGAAGTTTCATTGAATACGATATTTTTGTTCATGCTTGAATTTATGTTAATGATTTATATTTCTTATACTCATATGAGTGCTAGTATATTTAGCAAATCTTATAGATTATGATTTCATGTAATCCTTGTTTATTTTCTAATTTTATTATTTCCTTACTTTATTGTAATGGACGTATTTCTCCTTTTATCATAAATGAATTAGCTGTGTTTCAATTTTTTTTTCATATAGATGACTATAACAATTAAAGAGGTGTCAGATAAAGAAGTTGATGATTACGATGAGGAATGTATCTCAAATAATGAGCTAATAGGGAAGACTCAAATAATAATTTTAAATAACACAATAACATACACTCACTTATTGCCATGCACAATATAAGAATAAGAGTCCATGTTTGAAATCAACTCAAACTAGGGATAAATGGATACATGAGCTTTTACATGAACATCCTGTGAGATTTCAAAATATGTTCATAATGTTACAAATAATATTTATAAACTTACTTCAATTGCTTGAATCATCTTATGATTTATCTAGATCACTAAGTACAACGTCTAGAGAAGTACTTGAAATTATATTACATATCATGGGACAAAATAAATCAATTAGAGCAACATGTGAACATTTTAAACACCCAACGGAAGCAATAACTAGATAATCTTCTATCAATCTTCAAGCATTAATTAAGCTTTCAATGGATATCTTAAGATCAACATATTAAATTTCGTAATATTCCCTATGCAATTCTTGGGGATGCACATTATATGCCATATTTCAAAGAATGCATTGGGGTAATTGACGGTACATATATTTATGCTCGCATCCCCGTTAAGGATTAGATAACTTACATAGGGTGACATAATTCTCCAACACAAAATATAATAGCTACAACTGATTTTAATATGTGATTCACATTTGTTGCATCAGGATGGGAGGTTTCAACTCATGACACGTCTAATTTTAAAAGTATTGTGACTGATCTAAAGAACAATATTTTCTTACGCGATTAACAAGTATACTACATGTTAAACATGAAATATTCTATTAATATTTTTAATGTACTGGAAAATTTTATTTAGTAAAAGTTGGGTATTGATACGCCTAAAATATATAGTATTTTTAGACACATTTTTATACCTATTTTTGAGATATTGCGCTTTAATAGAATGTATTTTTGTAATTTTCTTTCAGGTACAGTTAAAAAAGTGAAAAATGCTTAAAGGAGTGAAAAAGGATCAAATTATTTAGGATCAAATTTGGAGCAAATATGTGAAAAATGTGCAAAAGTGTTTTGGCGCCTAAGCACCAAATCCGGCGCTTAAGCGTAGGGTAAACAGAGAAGTCCGCACCTAAGCACCAGAGGCCCCGCGCTCAAGTGCCAGTGGCAGTTATTGGATGAGTAAATTCAGTTTTTGCGAATTTTGAAGAGGTTTTTCAGGAACCTATTGGCTTAATAGGTGGTTACAACCACCATGGAAAAAAAATTATTGCGAAAGGATGCATCTCTTGGGGAAATACATCGAATCAAGATACATTTTGAAGAGATACCAATGCACCTTTTGGAGAATTATAAAAGAAGGAAGATTGGAACTTTGAAAGAGGTCCCGAAAGTACTAGGAAAGTTTTGAAAGTTCAAAAATTGGGGAGTTAGTTGGAGAGATTTTCAGACACCACATATTTATCCTTTTTTTATTTTAGTTTTATATTGAGGGTGTTTTAAAAGAGAAGAGATTCAAAGAAACTTCAAGAGCTTCGTGGAGGACTTGAGATAAGTTTTTATCTTTTGTTTTAGACTACTTTTTGTTTTAATTGAGACTTGTTGTTGGTTTGACAATGATTTTTACTTTTAAACTAAAGTGTGATTTTATTTTAAGAAGTTGTGATGATTTAAATCCATGTACTTCATTTACTTCTTGATTTGGCCAATCCAGATGTTAAAATTTATTCTGAGAACATGAAAAAACCGGGCTGGTATTGTCTCAGTCAACAATTGGAAAGAATCACATGAGGTTGTATGAATGAGAATGTAATTCATATGATTGAGTGCAAATAAATAGAGAAATATTCATTGAAGGGTGTAGAGTTAGAAGAGTTTAAAGTGACAGGTTAAAGCCCCCAACTTGGTTTATTGTCTTAGATTCTGATACGAGAAGTTAGCCCCTAGGTGGAGGGAATCG